TTGTGGGATGAATGAACCAAGTGCTTGAGAGCTTATAATCCTGAGGCAAGGGGTGGGCTCTAGAATTGATCTGTAATAAGTGCGCATCTCTGGAGGTTCCCAGACATACCCCAGGAGAGGGGCCCTATAACAGGGTGGTCTTCCAGCAGCCAAGCAGGTAGGCCCCGTGAGTGATGGTGATTTGTGTATTCATGCCAAAGGGAAGACGATGTGAGACACTCAGGTCACACACATGATTGAAGGGACTTTCTCCTGCCACAGAAGGGGAAGCAGAGAGATGCTATGTAAAACCTGAGGTGACCTTGGCCTGCTCCTTCACCAGCCTTGGACCTGCAGCCGAGGGACTAACCCAGAAAGTCACAGAGCCTCTGGCAAGCACCCACTCTAGGTCCAGGCTTGGGAGAGGACAGAGAGCAGCCTACAGGTGGAAAGCCCAGCTTTTCACAGAGCTTCTGATACCTCCAGACCCAGGTACTTGAAATGTGGATGAATGTAGCTTATTAATCTAAAAGTGGGGAAAACCTGGGAATTGCTTTATCCCATTTTTCAGATGAGGAAACTGAGGATCTGAGAGGGAAGCTGGAATATTGGAGGCTCTTAGAAATGGCTTCCTCCAGTCCAAGATTACAATTCCCTTGCCAATAAAGTCTGCTGGAAATGAATTAAGGAACCCTCTAATAGATCAACCAGACACTTAAATATGTAACCAAATGAGAATATGTTCACAGTGGCAGTGTCAAAATTTCAATTCCAACGTCTGTGGCTTAAACGTCCAAGTCCCTATAGTGGGTTTTTATACCAAAAGTGTGACCTCCCCCTCCACTCCCCTCACACAGTACTTCTGTTTCCTTCCCTGAGACTCACTAAGTAGGTAGTCTGCTTTCAGGTCTTAAGGCCAAACAGAGCCTTAAAATCATCCTATATTTCCTCCCTTTCTGTTTTTAAGGAGGAAAGGAATGTAAGACGGTGGTGAGGATGAGGTAGGTGGGCATGTGGGATTTGAAGAAGTGGGCACATACATCTCTGTAGAGGAGGCAGCTATCGTCGCTTATGAGCTTTCCAGCTCTTCACACTATGGTCTCTAAGCCTCAGTTTCCTCATCTGTATAGGGAGATAAACACTGCCAGTCCTGACAGCCTCACCTTGCAGATCAGCTGCAAGGGTCTTGCAGGGAGAGTGCAGTGGGTTCCAAGCTCCACACTTTGGCTCCGAGGTCCAAAGGGGACACACCTAGGCCAGCTATTAGGGCTGTCCTCATTCAGGGTGGGCGGGGATGAGGGCATGCTGCCTAGGCCTGCTCCACAACACTGGCTCCTTCTAGGGCAGACCTCAAGTTGCCCGGTCATTGCAGCCTCTGTCCCACATGCTCAAGACTCAGGCTCGCTTTGCCCTCTCCCAATGCTTCCACCGGTCCAGGCGGCTTCAGCCTGGCTTCAAGCCATTGCCATCATTCACCCAAGAATTACTGCAATGGCCTCCAGCTGGGCTCCGTACAGTTGCCCTGCCAACTCATCCTCCATACACTACGAATGTTTTTAAAAAAATCCATTTGACTCAGCAATTCTGCTAGGAATTTATCTGATGGCTATGCTGGCGAAAGTACTCTAAGATACATGAACAACGATGCTCACTGCAGCATTATTTATAATAGCTAACAACTGAAAATAACCTGATGTCCATCGATAGATATTAATGCAGCTGCTCAAAGGAATAAGGTAGCTCACACGTGCTGATGTGGCAAGATCCTTCCATCTCAAGGTATTAGGTGACAAAATGTGTAGAAGTCTGTAACTAGGATGACACTAAGTTAATATACATACCTACATTATTACACATATACACTGTGATGATTACCGTATAAGAAACTCTTAAGATGTGGTAACTTAGGGAAAAGGACTGGAAATTGTCTTGGGTGCAGTGACTTCATTTTTATAGCATACTTTTCTGAGTTCTTTAAATTTTCATCATTTATTTGTAATAATATTTATCTTTTAAATTAAAAGTAAAATGGACAACAGGGCTCAGTGAATTCCCCCGGCTCTAGGTCACCTGCCTTGAGAAGCCTGGGGCTGTTTGGCATTCAAGGCCCCTTGTGAGCTGGCCCCTTCAGCCTCACCCCCAGCCTCCCCAACTCACCAGCATCCTTCGTTGACTCCCTGCCTTCGCACACCATGTTGCCTTTCCCCAGTGACCCATTCACATGCGCACTGCCACTAGCCTCATTTGTGTCTTTTCCCTGGTAATCCCTCCTACCACCCCATCTCGACTCTGCCCAGCAGAAAAGGTTAAGTTGTAAAGCAGAGGAACACAAGCCTGGGGGCAGAGACACACCAGCTGCAAACTCAGCTCTGCCACTTCCTAGTTGTGGTGGATGTGATGTGTGCTCCAGACTTCTTCAAGCAAGAAGCTCCAGCAGCGGAAATGTCCAAAGGTAATTGCTCAGCAGTCCCTCTGGGATGTGCTCAGGTCAACAAAGCCATCTAACCCAAGGTCTCTCCAACTCTGGGGAGCAGTGTTTATCCAATGACTGGTGACAAACCATGGTCTTTGTGGAAAGGCTCAGCACCTCACCTCTCAGTGGGACAGCTCCACAGCACCCACAGAACTGAAAATGGCCTGAGCCTCAGGTGCAAACCCACTGAGCTCAGTTTCTCTTCCCACCATTGCTGCCAGTGTCACTCTCCACAGGTGCCATTCCTAAAGGTTCTCCCCAAATTTTCACCTGCAAATCTCCATTTCAAAGTATTTCCTAGGGAAGCTGACCTAAAACACCAGCAGTGTGACCCCAGGCAAATTCCTTACACTACCTGTGTTTCTTCAGGCCAGCACATAGTAGGTATTCAACATATTTATTGCATATGGAAATGACATTTACCTTGTCAAGAGTTGTGTAAGGATTAAGTAAGATGCTGTGTATAGGTACCTGGCCCAGAGCAGGACCGGATGTTGTTAGAACAAATAGGAGGCCAGCTGAACCAGGGGTGTACTGGTCCAGTAACCAGGACACTAGCTGAGAAATCTACAATGAATATTCTATTCAGAATTTCTGCAGTCATTGTGAATGTGTCCACAATTTAAATAACCCCAAAAGAACTGAGCAACCATCACAGAGCACCTACTATGTGACAGACAATACACATACATAAGCTATAGTCTTCAAAATAAGGTAGGTTATGTTAGGCCCAAGTTTCAGATGAAGAAATTGAAACTTAGATGAAGACTTTTATCTAAAGTCACAAAATGGGTGGTGGGCAGAGATGCGGCAGGTCAGACTCCAGGGCCTGCATTTATATGGCGGCAGGCTCAAGGTGTGGGCCCACATGAAACTGGATGTCCCTCCCAACAGCACCCTCACACCAAGCACAGACTCCAGTGCACTGGAAGCACTCGTTATTGTCAGCGAGCCCACCAGGCCAAAAGAGCACTGAGGCTCCGGGCAGACCCCAGGCCCTGCCCAGGCTGCAGGGTCTTCGGTGGGTTGAAGCGAGGGGGTACGTGAGGCTGCAGAACAGTCCTTGGCTCATACAGCACCGTGCAAATACAAAGCTAAAAACTTCTTGAACGTCTCTGGCTGAAAACCAGTCGGCCCAACAGGTTCCTGGAAAGAACACAGCCCATTAGAATCCTGCTACGAGGTTTAATGGCAGCAATTAAAACAAAGGTTGGTTTTATGTAAATCCTAAGCAACCCAATAATAGTTGCTTCTCTCACGGACCAAGGAGGGGCACTGGGGAGCTGGCACTGAAGAGATGCCTGAGGGGGCTGGGTCAGAGAGGACATGCAGCACTGCTAGCACCTTTTGGCTAAATGTCCTGTTGTCACTGACCTGATCTCTAATCCCTCTCACTTCGACCACCAGGAACAAATGGTCGGTTGCCCCTTTTCACTCCCTGGGCCAATAAGCCCTCACTCACTCCACACACATTTATCAGGCACCCTCTCTCTGCACTGGGCCTATGCCAACTGCTGGAAACCCACAGTGACTTGAATCTGGCTTCTGCCCTCATAGAGTTTATAGCCAGGTGTTCAAATAGTGATAGTAAAAGGTGACAGGCCTCATATTAGAAATAGAAAAACGATGTTAAAAAAAACAGAGAAAATGACTAACTAACTGACTTCCATACATGGAAGAGATCATGTATGAGTCTTAAAGGGCAAGCAGAATGGGCCAGAAAGAAAAAGAAAAGGAAGGAGACCGGAGACCAACACATGTACTAGTACAGAAGCAGAAATGAAGGTGGGAAGAGCAGGGGCGAGGCTGGAGCCCAGGGCCCGTGTTGGTGGGGGTGGTGTAGGCAGGGGAAGAGGCAGAGAGGGGTGGGAGCTGAACTGGACAGGTAAGGAGGAGCCATCTGACCAAACCAAGATAGTCTGGCACTAAGCCAGTATTCTGGAAGGAAGAGGCTAAAGGAAGAGGCCCTACAGACACAGGGGAGAGAAAGAGCATGACTAAGAACAGAGAGATGCGGAGGTGGTTAGTGTGGCTGTGCAGGGAGACACGATGGCTTCTGGGGCCAAAGAGAGGGCCCCGACCCAGAAGCCATTTCGAAGGTAAAACAACATTGAGAGATGGCTGGAGAATTACACAATGCTGAGAATGTTCAAAGGCTCAACAACGTCATTTAATGAATCTACCCAGGCCCTGTGTGGGACACAGGACACAGCTAGTCTGATCCAGCAGCACCCCTACTCTGTTCTCTCATCCCCTGATCCTGCTTTATGTCTCTTCGGAGTGCTTATCACTGCTTGATGTTCTATTATGAATTTAGATACTGTCACTGCCCACTGCACAGAAAGTAGGCCTGGACTCTGCCTGCCGAGCACTAGCGGTGACAATGCCATGGGAGGAGTTCCCTAACTGTAGAATGAAATGAATGAATCATTCACAGGCCTTGCCTTCGAGGAGCTTGGAGCTTGGTTTGATGGAGGAGAAAAACATGCAAACAAACGACTGCAGAATAACAGCGTGATCATGCTGTAATGAGGGAACACTGGCTATGGGAACCTGCCCAGGGCATTGATGTGAGGCTAGGAGTGGGCTGGTACGTCCTTATGCTAAACTTGGAAGGACAAGTAGTGGATGGCCAAAGGAAAGAGAAATGGAGGATGGGGTGAGGAGAGGGAGAAAGGGAGAAGCTTCTTATACAGTATCTACTAAGATTCCAAGCTACTTAAGGGCAGGGCACACTGGGGAACTGAGGAGCTGGGTGTGGTGGGTGCAGAGGGAATCGGGAGGGGAGATGAAGAGATGGGCAAGGCCCAGGGCAGAAGGTGCTGTTCTAGGTGATGGGCAGGGCTGAAGGAGCCCTCCAGGCAGGGATCTGGGTATGGAGCTCCTAAAGCCAGGATCCCACTCACATGCATCCCTCAACCCCACTCCCACTCACTCTGGGTAGGGTGAGTCACAGCCCTACTCTAATCACAGGCTGGAGATGGCAGGACTTACCACAACCACCTTCTTTTTGATCACTGGGAGACACCAAAAATGCTGATAGAGGAGCTGGTCTGAGTCCACCCACACCAGATTCTTGATGCCCTCATTAGAGGCCAGATCTGTGGTGTTCAGTTGTAACACCAAGAACTGGAAGACACGTCCATCGGTGCCCACACTCTGCACAACTACTGGCTGCTCCAAAACCTTAGTGTCATTCTGAGAGGAAAAGGAGACAAGTAAATCAAATGAGAAACAGTGGGGTAGAAAGAACAGCACAGACCAGGCAACCTCTAGTTCTGGCCTTTAAAATAAATGCTCTACTACATGTACTCATTTCACAATGGGGCAATGAAAACACAACGTGAGGTTAGGGCACTGACCAGAGCTGGGCCTTCCCTCCCCCACCCAGCCTGGCTCTGCCTGGCCTGGTGCCTCATGGCCCCAGGGTGCCTGCTCTTCAACTTGAGCACATTAAAGTAATAATTCTTGCTATTGAGAGGTGATTACTGGGCAAGCAGCACAGAACAGGAAGGTGAGCTGGGAGGTTAATGATGGGAAATCCCTCAAACTCCTGACACTGCCTGATGGTGACAATAGTGTCATCAGCTCTATCAAATGTGGACCTGGACGGTCAATGGATATAAATAATCTCATTCAGTTCTCACTCCGTTTAACAGACGAGGAAACCAAGACTGAGTAAGGCAAGTGCCTTATCTGAAGTCACAAGATGTGTGTGGCATCAGAACTTAGACTGGCTAACACTAGGATGTGTTCATTTTCCACTTCTGCCTTATTCCTAATGGCCTGGCATCCTAGAATGCAGGCAGTCATCTTACCTGGGCTTCGTGCTCTCAATGCAACTCTGAGAATGTGCCAGATTCCTGGAGTGTCTCCAGCCATGTCAGCCTCAGGATTTCACCAGTCAACACATTTACTAATTATCTCTTTCAATTTGTACGACTTGATATAATAATAACACTAGCAACCATTTACTGAAGGCCTCTCATGTGTCAGGCATTACACAAGTTTTACATAAAGTCACCTCTAATCTCACATCTAGGGGTATATTCATTCACTTAACAGATGAGGAAACTGAGGTTCAGAGAGGTGGTATAATTTGCTCAAGGTTACCCATGAGATGTGAGCCAGGATCAGACCCCATGCTATTAATTCACTTAAACCCCTATTATTCTGCTCTACATTCAGTGTCCCATTGGTCTAATAACAGAACATTTTTTCACTCTCAGTATTGTCCCAGTTTGGTTAACAAATCATATGTTCGCCCTACCAAGACTTTGCAGTAATCCAGTTTGGTGATTGCTACTCACTGGACAAAGACCCAATAGACAGGCCCCATGAAGCACAGCATCCTTGATTCAAAAATGCTGCCTATATTCACCCCTCCAGGGCTGGAACCAACATTAGAAATAGCTAATGTCAGACCTCAGTGTGGGCCACGCTGGGACTGTTGGCCCTAGATATACCTGTTCTTAGTTGCATGAGTAATAAATAAAAAGAAAAGTACCTCTAAGTGTTAGCTGAGAATTCTGTATTGACTCTTATCTCCCTCTACAGATCAATAAAACTGCAGGTAGTACATAAATTTCTCAGCAATTTTACCTTTTACCAGAGGCTCTTCCCATAATTGCTCAACTTCACATCCCCAGGAATAGTCTGTACCTGGAGGGGGTAAGGGAGACCTCCTTTCCTACCCAACTAGGTGGCAATTAGTGGCAGCATTGCTATCCATGCTCTCCTGGCACAGAAGCTACCATGAGTGTACAGGCCTGGGACCTGGCACATGACTATCTCTGCCTCTGTCCCCTGCCTCAGACATGGGTGGCAGTAGGTTGTTCGAAGCTGGAGGGATCATGGCTCCAGTACTAGCCAACCCACTCATTAGCTATGGGATCTTGGGCAAGTTACCCAACTTTCCAGAGCTTTCAGGAAATATACAGATAACAGAAATAAAGATAACCTTCCAAGGACTGAAAAGACACAAGATCACATAAAGCTGTGACAGCTGCTAATTTCTTAGCTGTGACCTTAGGCAAGTTACTTAGCCTCTGTGAGCCTCAGTTTCTTCACCTGTAAAATGAAGCTAACAGTATCTGCCATAGTGGGTTGCTGCAAGGATTAAATAATCCAATGGTTCTCAAATTTTAGTGCAGTGGTTTTCAAAACTGAGCTTGTACCATTACTACCTGGAAGGCTTGTTATGACACTGATTGCCAGAGGCCCACCCCCAGAGTTTCTGAGGCAGTAGGTCTGGGCGGGGTCTGCACTTCCAACCAGTTCCCAGATGATGCTCATGCTGCTAATCCAAGACCATATTTTGAGAACCACTAATACAGAGAACACTGATTAAATGTTTGCCATGTAGCAGATGCTCGACACAGGCAAGGTCCATTCCACTCCTTATTTCATTTGGCTAATCACACCTCCCCAATCCCACCTAGTTCCTAGTTGAAGTAGGATAGGCAACAGAACATTTTGAATTTCCTCACTCTTCCATAGGGCCTTAGGCTCTAACCAAGTCCTGGGAACTGGCAGCAGCTCTCAGGAACACTCTCCCACCCCTTGCTCCTGGAAGAGATTTCCCCTAATCTTGGAACAGCTCTTGTGACGACCACTCCACCTGCATTCTATACCATCTAGGACCCTGAGGCTTCCTCTTAGAATCAAGGGGCTACCAGCAAGGGGTATCTTAGGTCCCCAGAACCTGTCCTGACTTGGCAGGCAGGTCTGGGCCCCTCCACTGCCTGCCTGATGGAACCTGGTGCTCCAATCCTAATACTACAGAACAGAGGCAGTGTGCTGGAGCATGGACAACTGAAGCCTTAGGATTTGGGTATACCTAGTTCTCATCCTTTCTCCACTACTTACTGCTGTGTAAAGCTGAGCAAGCGGCTCAGCCTCCCTGTGATTCTGTGGCATAATTTTAAAACTGGGCATTATAATAAAACTGTGTGAGATAAAGAAAAAAGTTAGGTACTTTATGTAAAAGACAGGCACATAGTAGGCCCCCAGCGGATGTCAGTTCAGAATGAGTGGAAGTGCCTCTCCCTAAAATTTCTCAGTTAAGCAAGGAATCCCCGCTGCCCTCTTTCTTTCTTTGAGGAGTGTAAGGTAGGGGGGTCTTGTCTACATACATACCCCATAGAGGAGCCGGGCCTGAGCCAAGGCATTGCCAAAGGCAAACAGGATCATCTTGGCCCGCAGCTGATCTGGTTGAAAGCGGTATGGTCGTGAATTGGCTGTCTCCAGAAAATACAGGGTGTGGGGATAGGGATAAGGATAACCCTCCCGGTATCCTGTAAGATACAGAACCACGTAAAGGCAGAAAAGATTAATCGGCCTGCCCTAAGGCTCAGGAGAGTCACTTCACCTTAGTTCGGTGCCAGGCACTACAAAGACTCAATAAAGGCAAATACTATCAGCCTAGCTTGGGGGCTGGCAAACTTTAGCCTGTTGGCTAAATCTTGCCCTCTGCTTATTTTAAAAAATAAAGTTTTTACTGGAGTACAACTCTGCCTACTCATTTACATAATGTCTACTGAGTAGCTGTGACAGAAACCACATGCGGCCTGCAAAACCTAAAATATTTATGATTTGGCTCTTGACAGAAAATGTTTGCCAACCTGTTATAGGTGATTCTTGCATGCTAGCTCTAACTCCACCCCTTTCTCTCTCTCATTCGAGCACATGGATGACAGTGATATTAGCAGAAGTATAACCTGAAATCCATGGCAATAATTTTTTAAAAAAAGAAATCATTTGCAAAATTCAATATTTTATTATTAATAACAAATGACTTCCTCACACCTCACAACTATCTGTACAACACTGGTGGTGAGAATCAAAGCTTAACTCTTGCTCATCTCAGCCATGATCTTACCAGGTCATCATTCTCTTCCCCTGCATGGCTCTGGATAAACCTTTGGTAGACTGGAGGCTTCTAGAAGGAGTAACCTAGATCAGTGAAAGTGAGTGAAAAGGAGGGAGAAAGAGCCTGGGAAAATGTGGGCTCTAAAAATCCCAGAGAAGAGCACTACTTAAGATAAAGACACAGACATGGCTTTCCCACCTGCCTCAATCCCTGCTTTGGTTCCTCAGCATATGTAAATACCCAACACTCAGCACTTACTCTGTGCCAAGCTCTAAGATGGGTACCAGGAACAGAGGCCAAGCAGAGCCTGCCATTGCCTTTGAGGAACTCAGTCTAGAGGGGAAGACTGACAGGAAAACTGATCATATCCAGATGGAGAGACATGTCAAGTTAAAGCTGGGTCAGGGGGCTGTGGAAGGAAAGATAAAAGGTCCTGATATGACTAGAAGGTCCCAGAGCATTTCTGGAAAGAAGTGCTTCCTAAGATGAATTATGAAAGATGAGGAGTTATCAAGCTGAAGACAAAAAGAGGTGAATGGTCAAAAGTTCCAGGCGGAGGTATAAGAATGTGTCAAAGCATGGTGGTGAGAAAGGGCACAATATATTGAGCATAGTTGAAATAAAGGAGGCATGTAGGGGAGCAGACAAAGGTGAGGCTGGAGAGAGGGGCACAGGCCAGACCTGAAAGCCCTCATGTAATAAGTTAAGTTCAGACTCTATCCAATAGGCAATGGGGAGGATAGGCATTGAGAGAGATGAGATTAAATTTGTGCTTTAGAAGGGCTACTCTGGAATTGTGAACTAGGTGGACTGGAGAGAAAACAGCCTGAAGCAGACTGACCAGTTGGGAGGTTGTGGCAACAGGCAGAGTGAGAGACGGGAGGGACTGACCTCAGTTGCAGCTGTGGAAATCAAGAGAGGGAAAGGAGAAAGACGCTCATGACTGAGTTGCGGGCCTGCCTAGCCTGACTCCCTAGTTTCTTTCTGAGCTGATTGGGTAGACAGCAATGCCTTATTTGATGGAGTTTGGATAAATAGCCTCATTCAATGCCTGTGGGGTTTCTTCAGGCCTACCAGGAGGTTGGCCAGAGTTTATAGGTTACATAGAAAGAGGTGTCTTTCAAGGGACCTATGAATATAGGAAACATTTGGCCCCTGATCAAATGCCCCTCTAGCCACCCATTAAAACTCTGACCTAAGAGAGTAGCTTTTCAGGAGTCAAAAGCAAAGTCAGCCTTTGAGCAAATCATTTCACCTCCCTGAGCCTCAGTTACCTTGCCTATAAAACTGGGATAATAGTAACTGCCTCACAGGGCTACTCCATGGATCTTAGAAGAACATGCAAGTCAGGTGCCTAGCATATAGTAAGTACTCAATATATCTTTTCTCTTAAAAAAAACACATCCCTCTTCTCCACGCTGCCTGAAAGTCAAAGGCTTGATACTCACCTGTGTCGTCTTTCACATCATAAACATTGCATTCCTGAAGATCGACAGTGGGAGATATGGGATAGAAGGTTTCAAGAACATGATTCTTAGTAGCTTCTACCTCCTCTCTGGAGGCAATGGGGGGCAGAAGGTCCTTGGCATTCAGTCGGGCTCCACTAGAACCACGGACCTGAAGGAGAAGAGACTCTAAAAGGGGAGAAAGATGATTAGTCTAACCTGGTCTAAAGCCTTATCTCAGTTTCATCCCACCATGCTCAAGTCTTTTATATAAGTTTTACGAGCTGACCAGCCTAACCACAGAAAACAAAACTTTGGTTAAGAGATTAATCCTGGAATTCTTTTTTTTTTTTAATTAAATTTATTGGGGTGACATTAATAAAATTAAATAGGTTTCAAGTGTACTATTCAACAATACATCATCTGTATAGAGCATTGTGTGTTCACTACCCTAAGTCAAATCTTCTATCACCATAAATTTGACCCCCTTTACCTTTGTCTACCTCTCCGTTCCCACTTAGTCTCTCTGGGAACTATTATACTGTTGTCTTTGTCTATGAGTTTTTGTTTGTCGTATTCATTTGTTGCTTTCCGTTTTATATTCCACATGCGTGAAATCATATGGTTCTCAATCCTGGGATTCTTGAGAGGGGGACTGACCAATGCACTCTTCTTCCTGTGTTCCCTTTCCAGTGATCCCTGAGGCCTTGTGGTCTCTGTGGGTTCAGGGCTGCCCTATACAGATCGTCCTAAGCACCTGCTTGCTCTAAGCTAGGGACCCAGAAATGAGTGAGAGTTACTCTATGCCCAGGTTATTAAATCCAGGAAAAGGGCCAGATTGTCCACAACTGAGAGTAAAATAAATTGAGCCTGTCAAAAAGCCTCACTTAAGTTGGATTAGCATATCTGCTACATGGAGACATGGGTGTATGAAGAAAAAACTCACATATGACTAATCAGAAAGCCTGCCATTGTGAACATGTATGAATATCCTTCACAGAGGTTCCCACAGGAGGCCACGTGCCACCACCAGGCAAAATATGCTGGAAAAACTCCTTGAGAATAGCTTTCTGAGCATTCTAAGTGGAGGCAAATCTTTCTCTGAAGGTGCTTGGGTTTTTAGAAATAGTCAAATAGCAGTGTGATGGTAATGGATCAAGGATAATGAACTTACATATCTAATGGCTAACAGCACTGCCATTTAATTAGCATGTGGTCTCACTTACTGAGTACGTAAAAAAGGGATACTACATCTGTGGATAAATTCTGATGTGGTTGTTAAAATACATCACACCCATACCTCAAGAATAGTTTTCTAAAGTATTTCCTGTTTCCTCATATATAACCTGCAAGGAAGATAAATGTGCCTGGACCTTGCCTAACCTTGGGTTTTAGATTTTCTCCACAGACCACTCTCGTGTGGTTTCCAATTCAATTCCCTTCACATCTCTCCTCCAGTGACAGTTGCAAATGGGGCAGTTTAATTAGAGGTAATACTTGATGATGGGCCAACAAGTTCTCTTCTATTAATAAGGCTCACTAATTTCCTTAGTTGTGCCATTACCTCTATAAAGCTGACTGCTTGCCAGGAAGTCCATGCTCAAAGGGGAAAGCCAGAGAAATCCGACCAAAAAGATGTCCTGAAAATCCCAAATTATTTCATAGCTGGTTTCTCTGCTCCAGGATTCCACAAATTATGGAAAAGTGAAAAGACCAGGATTCCACCAAAATGAACAACACAAGGTCCCTGACATCAGGAGTTCACAGTTTAGGGGGGCAGACAGAAAAGATACCAGGTAACTATAACACAGTATAATATGTGCTATGATAAAAATATACGTAATGGGCACAGAGGAGGACTAGCTAACCTATGGATTCACATTGGAAGACGGCTTGAATTGAGTCTTGCAGATAAGAATTTAGTCAAATGAGGAAAGCAGAAAGAGTTCTAGACAGAATGCACAGCATTTGCAAAGGTATAAAAGCTCGATGCCAAAAAGCTGCAAGTGGCTAAAGTGTACATTTGGTCATGCAGGGTGGTGGGTATTAGAGCAAGAGATAAGACTAGAAAGACTAGGTGGGTGTCCAAATCACAGAGGGCCTTGGATACCATGATAAATGGTTTCAACTACTTGGAGACAATGAAGGATATGAAACAGGAGGGCATAGGAAGACTTGCACTTTAGAAAGATCACGCTAACAGCTACATGGAAAATGAACTGGGCAAAGGAAAAAAGCATGCATGGGGTAAGAAGGCTCTTGCAGCAGAATATGAGCTTGTGAGGGCAGAGACTGTGTATGCTTTATTACTTCCTTATTGTCAACATTTAGGAACTTGCAGGCACTCAATAGATATGGTTGAATTAAGTCTTGGAAAGAAGTGATTAAAAACAAAAAAGGCTGCACTATGGCTAATGATAATGAGGATGTGTCTGAGCCTATAAAATTAGACCATGAGGATGGGAGTGAGGATACATATGGGAGTGGGGGGGTATATGGGAATGTGAACTGGGCTAAGACTAGAAAGACTGATAAACAGACTAAAGCTTTCTGGCATACAAGATAACCAACCTCGATTCCAAGTGGTGGATAACGTGTAGTTTTTGGCACAGATCCGCCTGGCTAGTGAAGGATGCTTGAAAGTCTGGGATTTACACAGCTGTAACAGACTGTCCACAATGATTGGGCTTGGAGAAAAGAAGAAACATTTGGAGATATAAAGCAACAGATATAAACCAAAATTCATCAACTAGAAATCTTACTGACATGGGGGAAACTTACCAGTAGGTCGTTCTCTTGGGGATGTTTTCAGTGGAGTGCCAGAGACGGGCGTGATAGATCACATTCAGAACGCGTTCATCTTGGTTCTCTATGTGGTTCCTTGGATCCTCAATAAGGCTAAGCACTTTCTCAGGAAGGCCTTCTATTAACTTGGCCTTGGTAAGCCAGAGAGCCTGCTTTACACCTTTGGGGTAATCAGTTACAAGAAAAAAAAAAAAAAGACAATTCAGGAAGAGATGCTTAAGCCTGCCAGGTAACATCTTGGGGAAAAGGGAGAGGGAGGAATATTTATGGGATTTCTTCTGTGACATCTGAGTGGTCAGAACTAAAAATAAAGAGCCTAAGCTAGGAAAGTCATTTCAACTCAACTTCAAGAATGACTTGTCTACTTAAGGATAGTTAACAACTGAGATGGTGAGTGCCTGCCATAGGAAGAATTCAAACAGTGGCTCAAATGGCTGAGATCATAAGGCTGAATCTTGCAGGCAAGGGTCTGTCAGACACTTGACTATGGGATTAAATCAATGGATGCCAACCTTTCAAAACCTAGATCCTTTCTATTAAATCACACCTCAGTCCTTGATCGGAAAAGCCTTTATCTACCAAATATACCTCATTTATTAGGTGTAGGCCCAGGATTAAGTCCATGCTGTTTTATCAAGGGAAAGCAGTTTTTGGAAATAATGGAAATAACTTTTAAACCATGAATAACTTGAAGAGCCCTGAGTTTGGGAGCCCTTAAATGGATAATTTTTCACATCTCTTCTAACTCTGAGATTCTATAAGTTATTTCATAAGGAAATTTTTGTATGAAGAAGCTGTATGAAACATACTGTCAAAACATATTTGTCAAAATGATTATACTGAGGATATTTTTCTATTAATTACACAGGGTCCTCCCTGAGACCTTCTGAACCTCTCCCTGGCCTTAGTACAGGAGGACTGGGATTTTCCTGGGTAGAGTACTGTCTTGTCTTATGGACATGGTGAACTGCATAACTGAAAATGTTTTTCCCTATATCAGGGCTTGACATACGTTATTTCTTTAGGGCCAGATGGTAAATATTTTCAGCTTCCAAGTCATATAGTCTCTACCACAACTATTCAACTCTGCCACTGTAGCATGACAGCAGCCATAGACAAAAAAAGTAAACAAGTAAGCATGGCTGTATTCTAATAAAACAATTTACAGAAATAGGCAACTGGCCTAGTCAGTAACCCCCATTTCTGTACCATTTGTTGACTGCTAATAAGCTGAGAACAAAGTTTAGGGCTCCTCTTTAGCAAATAGAACCTCACAGACTGTAATTTTCTTTTTTTTTAAATTCACCACACTGTTTTATTTTTCCTTTGTGCTGGTTGCCTCGCCTTTCTATTTTTAATTTAATCTGTGTTATAAAATTTCTATAAGATGCTCAAAATACTTTTCAGAAAAAGATGGAGTATAAGTAAACTAAAAGATTTGATTCTGACTGCTTAATCTTTAAATATTAAGGAATGTCAGCTACTTTCAGTGGGCTGCTGTCCTAGGCAAAACTCCTTCCTTCACTTTCCCCAGATCTGGCTTCACTAAAAGAGGAACAGGCACAGACCTAGGGACCTAAGTTCTGCATTAAGTCCATACATCAGTCCTCTACCCTCAGATCAAAGTTGACACTGTATTCCTTCAAATGATTGTGCCCACAAGTTGACAGAGGGCTGGTTACTACTTTGGTTAGCAGACTACTCATCGCATCTGGAAAACCACTCTGACTCAGGGACATATCTTCATTTGTAAGGTTATGTCTGAGATTAAAGGGAGCCTAGGAAACTTTGGGGGAGACACCCTCAGGCAATTTCTTTAGTAGTAACCAATGAAAGACGATGAGGGCAATGAAACTTTCCACTTTAAGGCTTATAAGACATTGGAAATACAAACATTTAGAAATGTAACTTCTAGATTTTGTGGTGAATTAAAAAAAAAAAATCTGGTGTGGGACTTGGGTAACCTGTTTTCCTTGAAAAGGAACATCCGGGCTCTGAACTTTGACTTATGAAATGAGATATGCAGCCCTGGCTTCACTATTAACCAAAGTGCGCCTGTGGACAAATCACTTCTCTCAATCACATTTATCAATCCTGTGAAATGAGGCTATAGGCAAGGGGCATTCTTTCTGCTGCTCCATCTATCTATTTCTTAAATGTACAGCTACATCTCTCAGGTGTCAAGAGCTGGAAGTGTCATAAGAACCATTAGTCAAAACCACTTACTTCACAGAAAATGCGAGGCTCAGGAAGGTTCAGCCACTTGCCCCAAATCACAGTTAGAGGCAGGACTAGGCCTGGAAACCAGGTCTTTTCGCTTTGCCACTCCAACTCTAATACCTCCTTCAAACAAGCAAAGCTCTTTACAACCCACTTAATCAGGACAACTCTCGTAATAAGAATCACTACTGGCCCCATTTCACAGACGAAGAAAGTGAGACCTTTTAAGTTTCAATGTCTTGCCCAAAGTCACAGAGGGCTTGGGGTCAGTACTGGGCAGAGGAACATGGTCCCCTCCCGCCCATCCAGGGGCCTCACCCTCGAGGAGGCGGCAACGCTGGTGGAAGGTGTAGCAGGCCTGGTCCTTGTACAGCGGATGCTCTTGGATCGGGGGCGCGCGGCGGAACTTTGGGTGCGTCCAGCCAGGATCCCACGGCGGAAAGACCGGCCGCGCCAGACCGGGCACGAAGTGCATCTTCCCCGCGTAGGTGATGGGCTCCAGTCCAGGGATTTCATACACCCTGTCCAGGGGAGGAGGCTCGGGCTTCCGCGTGGAGCGAACGCCCCACTCGTACGCCCCGCGTCTCGGGGTCCCGTCGCCCCCAAAGCCGAGCCTTCCAGGTAGACGAAGCGCCCGCCTTGCGGGGCCCGACGCCAAAGCCATACCGGTTCGGTCTCCTCAAGACCGCCACCTGGACGCCGCCATCTTCCCGTGCGCAAGGTCTACTGGGAAGGAAAGGGGCTGGTCGCCAAAGCTAGTTTTATGAGTGGCAGCCACTTGAACCAATCAAAGTTAGGGTATCATAGCCTTGCCCCACCCCACAGGCCATCCTCTTTTCTTATAGGTGGGAAATGGAGGAGGGGGAACCTGAAGGATCTTCACTTGAGGCCAAGAGCTTGAGTGAAGGTGAGTGGTGGTGGTTGGGGCTGGGACGGGAGGAGAACATCAAGGCTTGAAACCTGAATGCTGGGCAGCC